CAATGAGATGGATTGGCCAGGTGGCAGCATCGATGGACTCAAGTGTGGCAACAGTAGTGAGGTTGGCCAGGATCGGACATTGTTTCATTCTGCTGTGCATAAAACATCGCTATGAACCGGTGCCGACTCAATGGCACTAACAACAACAACAACAACACAGTGACCCTGTATAGGGTTACTGAGGCTGTAAATGTTTATGGGAGTAGAAAGCCTCATCAGTTTCCTGTGGAGCATGTGGTAGATTCAAACTGCTTACCTTAAGGTTAGGAGCCCAATGTGTAACCCACTAAGCTATCAGGGTTCGTTCATCTGAAGTTAAGTAAGAAAAAGTGAGAGAGAAACATTAACTCAAATTTTATTAATTCCAAGTATATACCAAATTAATAAGCCTAACAGCTTATTATCATTTCAAGTTATACATAAGTTAATGAACTAGATTTATAAAAGATTAAAAAAAAATTCTATAGACTTGGGAAGATATGGTCAGGGGACTACATTGTAAGGATGGGTATAGGAAATGTTTGAACTTTTCAATCTTAGCATTTCAAAATGTACACTGTTACATAAAGTTCTTGCTGAGACAAACAACATTACATCTTCATTCATCAGAAGTTTTAAGTAGGGCAGCTTTCTTCTTATACTTGTCTCCAATTTCTCTAATATTTTCTATGAGTTCTTCAGACATGTATTCTTCATACTCTCTATCAACTTTAGTGATCTGCTCCTCAAGATGTTTCTAGGGGAAATAATGAACAATTGTTAATGTAAAAACATTACTTTATTTCTTTTAAAGTATTAAATTACAAAATTTACAAAAAATAGTATAATATTGGTAAATTAAGACTAAGAGGGGGTGGTAAAGGCATGAAGTGACTGGCTTACAAGTTTTCAAGAGTGAGTTTAATTTAAGAGTGTGTGGAGGAAGATAGAGTTCCCACTGAATAGTTTTCATCTTGTCTAGACGGGTCTGGTGAAAAGAGATGGAGATAAGATTCTTATGAATTAATAGTGAGTAATTGTTATCACGACTAATTGTGTCTGTCAGAATTGTAAAGGTAGAAGTTCTGTAATAAAGACAGGCGAGTAGTTATTCTTATAGTCCAGACACAGAGGCCCCAAGGACCATAGAGGGAGAAGAGCACAAATGGAATGCGAGACCTTATCCAGAGAAGCAGCAACACCAGAGATGGAGGCAGAGATGGGGACATGGAGAGAGGGAGCATCTGAGGACTCTAAAGTCATGGAAAAAGAGGGACTGAGGGCTGGAGGCCAGGAGGCAAGGCTTGCAAAATATGCCTTCAGTGGTTTAAATTATTTTATATGCTTGAATGTTTAAAAAAAAAAAAAAAGAGTTAAAATGAATAGAGAAAAATACCATTAACTGAAGGTACATGGAAGGGATTATAATCATTATAATGCAACAAAGTATGATTTGTTGAATGTAAAACTGGTGATCTGTCCTGTAAACTTTAACTCAATTCCCAATAAAACTTTAAGGAAAAAAAGAATAAAAGGAACACTCTTATATCCACCACTTTGTATCATTTTTCTACTCTGGAGGTAGCCAATCTCTTGAAAATTGCTCTTTTAGGGTGCTAGTGAGGAGTGTGGAGGGAAGAAATATAGCAGGATTCAGAGTGACTTTTATAATTTGGGTTCTTTTAAATTAAAAAAAAAAATTATTTTTCTGTTGTTGTGAATATACACAGCAAAATACACACCAATTCAACAATTTCTACTTGTGCCATTTAGTGACAGTGATTACGTTCTTCGAGTTGTGCAACAATCCTCCCCATCCTTTTCGGAGTTGTTTTCTCCCCTATTAACATAAATTCACTGGCTTTGAATCTTTTCAAAACTGTTCAGTCAAGGCCAAGTGAGCATAAGCATTGCATAGCAACCAAATCTCGAGTGTGGGATTTTGACCAAAGAAGGAAAAAGGCAGCATTGACTTATTCAAAGACAGTGGCAGATTCACAAAGTGGTACAGCTGGTGGCCATCTTTGTGCAGAGCATCATTGCCCTGTTTCCTACTTGGATCAAAATCTCATTAGCAAGAGATTTGGTTGCTATGCAATGCTGGTGCTCTGTTGTGTATGACTGATGTGTTTCAAAATGGTTTGAAGCTCTGTCTAGTGATCAGTGAATTTGTGTTCCTACTTAATATTTCAAGTTGCTGTTGCTAACTTGATCCTATACAGATAATTTTTAAGAAAGCTTCGTGCTTTAGGCTAACAGGTTATACGAGTTATGCTAAACTTTTGTTTGGTTTTAAGAAGACCTCACGGGATAATTTTGGTTTAAAGTTTTAAGATGATCTCAGGGCAATGGTTTCAGAGGTTTATCCAACCTTCATGGTTCCAAAATGTCAGGAGTCCATGAGAATTAGAAATTCTGTTCTGCAGTTTCCCGGATTATTCTATAGAAACTTTGATCAAGATCTTTAGAAATGGGAGCTTAAGCACCATCCAGTTCTTTGGGTCAAATGGCAAAGAGGTAAGTAGCCGCACATTCCACATTCTCCTTTTATTCCTGTCTCTTCTTCCTCTGTTGCTCCAGGCGAACAGAGACCAACTTTGTGCCTTGAATTGCCACTTACAAGATTTTAAGATTCCATGCCCTATTCAATAAACTGGGAGGTAAAATGGAAACACTCAGACAAGATCTTGATGGTCTCAGGATGTCTGGAGCCCATGAGAATGTGAAATTCCAGGCCCTATCTCATAAACATTTGTCTAGTGTTCCATGTAGACAAATCTCCAAACCAAGAAACCAAGTCCCAACAGATTTTCGGTGATACATAAGAAGCCAACAGCAGCTACTCTTTTTTTTTTTTTTAAATCTTTTATTGTAAGTTGATTGAGCAACAACTCTTGTTGTTGTAAATATATAGACACAACTTTTATCAATAGAACTTATGTCAATTCAACTTTTTACAGGAGTACAACTTATTGACAAAATTACAATAATCAGCTGTGCAACCCTATTCTTAATCATTGCAATATTTCCATCATAGTTAACCCCCTTTTTGTTCCTCCTTATTGTCTCTGGTAACCACTAATAAACTTTGTTCTATTTTTGTTTTTTCTTGCCTTTTTATATACTTGAAGTCATATAATAACATGTCATTTTATGGTTTACTTATTTCAGTTGGCATGAATTCCAGGTCCATCCACATTATAGCATACACTACAACTTCATGTCTCCTACTGGTTGAGTAGCAGTACATTGTGTGCATGTACCACATTTGCTTATCCATTTATCTGTGTACGGGCATTTAGGTTGCTTTCGTTTTTGTGTGCATAGTGTTGCAGTAAACACTGGTGAACAAGCCTTTGTGTGTTTGCTTTCAAGTGTTTTGGGTATATACCTAGAATTGGAGCTGCTGGTCCATATGGAAGAGCCTGGTAGCATGGTGGGTTATAAGTTGGGCTGTGAACTGCAGAGGAGGCTTTCTGCTCCTGGAAATATTGATAAGTCTCAGAAATCCTATACAGGGTCTTGAGGGAACACAACCAATCCAGATGGAATTAATACCTATTGCTAGTTTTTTGAGCAACTACAACATTGTTTTTCACAACATTTCTACCATGCTGCATTCCCAGCAGTAATGGATAAAGGCTCCAATTTCCTGACATCCTAGGCAACAATTGTTATTTTCATCAAAATAAATAAATACAAAATAATCTTTGGGGTGAAATTACCAAATATCACATTGTAGTTTTGTTTTATATGTTTTTGATGGCTAATGGTACTAAGTATCCTTTCATGTGTTTGATGGCCATTGAATGCCCAGTTTAACATACTAACAATTAAAAACTTATGTGCATCAAAAGACTTCACCAAAAGAGTAAAAGGGAACACACAGAATGGGGAAAAATCTTTTGCAATGATACATCAGACAAGGGAATTCATTTCTAAAATATATAGGAAAGTACAACACCTCTACAAGAAAAAGACAAATAACCCATTTAAAAAATGGACACAGGACATGAACAGACACTTCACCAAGGATATCCAGGCAGCCAGCAAACATATGAAGAAATGTTCACGATCACTAGTCATTACAGAGATGCAAATCAAAATAACAATGAGATATTATCTCACACCAGCAATAACAGCAAAGATCAAAACGTAGAGAGCAATAAATGCTGGTGGGGATTTGGAGAGACTGGGACACTCCTGCATTGCTGGTGGGATTGCAAAATGGTCCAACCTCTCTGGAAAGCAATATGACGCTTCCTCAGGAAGTTGGAAATAGAAATACCGTATGATATAGCACTTCCTCTACGTGCTATTTACCCACAAGAAATACAAGCCATAACTTAAGTAGATATATGCACACCAATGTTCACAGCAGCACTATTTACAATAGCAAAAAGATGGGGAGAGCCCAAGTGCCCATCAACTGAAGAATGGATAAACAAACTGTGGTACATACACACAATGGAATACTATGCTACCTTGAAGAACAAGGAAGCCGCAATTCACGGGGTAACATGGATGAACCTTGAGGACATTATGTTGAGTGAAATTATCAGTCACAAAAGAATAAATATAGCATAGGACCACTACTGTAAAAGACTAAGAAAAAGAACGCATATTAAAGGGGTGTGTGTGGGATTTTTGCTGGTTACCAGGATGTAGGCAGTGGGTTGAGGGGAGGGAAGGGAAGGTGGAGCATGGGGTAGGGAATTGACACAGGATAGTTTGGGTGCTAGGGAGGGGGACAATACACAAGATGGGGGAGGGAAATGGAAGAACAAAGCTGGTGGGAAAAACAATTAAGCATGTTTGCATGGGCTAACTGGGACAGAGGTAAATAATGATGTGTGCACAACCTTGGAAAAACAGGGCTCTGGGATACAGGGATTGAGACATGGTTGGAATGGGGAAAAGGGAGGAAATAATGTTACGATGATTGGCTGTCTTTTGAATCTTGGCTTCCTTTAAAAAAAAAAAAAAAGAAAAATCAATAGACTAATAACTGAAAAAACAAAACAGTAGAAGACAAAGTAGATGACTGGGACTTCCTAAATGTGCTTCCAAAGATTTCACCAAAAGAGTAAAAAGAAAATCCAGTGGCTGGGAAAAAATTTTTGGCAATGATATATTGGGAACAATCTCTAAAATTTATAGAAAATTTTAGCACCTCAAGAAAAAAACAAATAATCCAATTAAAAAATGGACAGAAGGGCTAAGATGGCAGACATACTACACATACCCTTTACAACAAAGACACGAGAGACCAAATGAAACGGATACAAATGATAATCCTGGAACTCTAAGCTCCAGAGGAAATGGTAGAAAGTCTAATTAAATACTGACTAGGACAAGCTGAACAAAAGTGGCGAGAAAGGTGACACACGTGTGAACTGACAGCTGGTCTTACATGATGCAGCCATTTTGAATTTTGCAAGGAACTTACCATTGAGACAGTGGTTAAACAGCACAAATACACTCCAGATGCTGGTAATGAAAAAGGTGGACTCTTCCTTTGTTCCTACAACCTTCTGGTGACCATAAGTGTCATCAATCCCCACCCTGACCTACTCGTTTGCCAGGGACAACCCCATCCTCTGCTCTGCAAGAAGTCAGAGACCCTCTGGGTACACCTCCCCTGTATTTAGAGGAACCTGAGTTGACCTTATTAGACCAGCAGACTTCATAGTACAGGGTCCTGGCCATCTCTAACCATCTATCCTCCCCACCAGCTGCTTTCAGCCTGAAATAGTT